TTGTTTATTTGTGTTTTTATTTCCATTACTCTAGGAGGGTCCCGCCCCGCCCTGGCCCCGTCCTGGCCCCGCCCCCTGGCCCCGCCCAGGCCGCGTTCTGCCCCTCGGCCTTGCCCCACCGCCCCGCCTCCGGCCCCGCCCCGCCCGAGCCGCGCTCCGCCCCTCCCTCACCCCGCCCCTCGGGGAAGGCAGCTGGGAGGCCGCCCCCCTTCCCGCCCCTCCGCTCGCACCTGGGCAGGCGTCCCTGAAAGTGGGACGTGTGGGGAGCTGGAGCGCTGCCCGCTGTTTCAGTTGCGGGGTTGGAGCGGCGTCTTTGCGCCTCCCCAGGCGCAGCCTCGTTCCGAAGAATCTTTAAATGGGAGCGCGTGAGCAGAAAAGTGGGGGCCTCTCCACGCTCACCGTCACCACCCTCCGCCCCCGCCCCCGCAGGGTGAGCATGGTTGAGGCGTCCGCGTCCCAGACCTGATGCGAGGGCCGAGGGTGGGGCGTCCTCGCCGCCACTCCTGATTCAGGGGAGGGTAAGGGTCTTACTCTGCTTGTGGAGGGGCGCAGACCACCTCCGCCCCGAGTGGGGGCGTGTGAAAGTCGGCTGATCACTACCCCGCACCCCAGGCCGGGACTTCATCACGTGTCTCCCGCCCCGGTCCCCCCGGGGGCTTCCCGCAGGCTGGTCTTGCCCCTCCACGGCGTCCCCGTGCTCTCCACCGGCCCCTGCCCAGGCACCCCAACCTCTGGGCTCTAGTCTGGGAAGGGGGAGTTGTACACGAAGTGCAGCCCCTCTCCCTTCTCCTGGGTCAAGTTCCCCACCTCACCCCTCTGGGTGGGAGGCCCTGGGCGTGCCTGGTTGGCACAGAGACAGCAATTTGGGGTGCAGGGGCTGCTCCCCATCCAGGGCTGCACCAGGGCAGGAACGGATGAGAAAGGGCAGCCTGAGAGTTGAAAGCTAGGTATAGGAGGACCTTCCTCTTTCACGCATGGAGACTGTGGTGAGGACCGACTGCAGGTGGGGAGGGGCCAGCTGTCTTCCTCAAATCTTAAGGTCATCAATTCATTTAACACACATTTACCAAATGCCCTCCATCCCAGCGCTGTTTGTGATGCAGTAGTCGATGAGACAGATGGCTCTTTTAGAAGTGAGGGAGCATGAGCACAGAGGCAAATAACGTAATATGGAAGGGCAACTTGGAGAAAACTGACAGGGAAGTGTCATAGGAAGTGCGCATGGGGTGGTTCCGGAAGGCCTCTGAGGAGTGGCAATTCGAGCTGAGACCCACCAGATGAGAGGGGGCCAGCCAGCAGCCAGCCCAGGGCCCCAGCGTGCGCAGGGCAGGGAGCTGTGTGGTCTGGGTTGTCACAGGCTGTTGGCAGGGTTGTCCCGGGGGGGGGGGGGGGGC